GTCAAACCAAGAAAAAGATCCAAGTTAGTAAGAACGAGCTTAGTAGTCCATTTATTCAACTATAGATCAGGATTCCCAGGGGCAGTTTATAGAACAGAAGTTGGAGGCGGGGGATGCACTGAGGCTTTCGAGCCTGTGGGTACAGGACTGGCCAAGACGCAACCATCACACGGGCTGCCCCATCTTCTCGCCTTCAGGACTCTGCTGGGATGCTCTCCCTAAATGTTCCAGCCTCAAAACTGCCCTGTCCTTGGCTTTATTTATTTGGTACCCCTCATAAGTGGTAGGCATCTTTTTAGCGTGTTATAATCTCCAAACTTTCTTTCATTATAAAAATTAAAGGATACTCATTTTAACAAATGTGAACAGAAGAGAATCACCATAAAGAAACAAAAATTGAATGTGCTATTTTTCCAAACCCATACCTTAAAGGTAAGTACTGTTAAATACTTTAGCATACATCCTTTTGAAATCTTTTGATAACATTTAAAATCTCAACAGTATTAAATGGCCATCACATTTGTGCATGTATTGATATATACTGAAAAAAATGTTGTATTAGCTCAATAGGTTAAAGAAGGAATCCATGTTAGTACACTGATGGCTATTAATATCCCGTGGTATCTTCTAACATACATATCTTATTATTAAGCTGTGCCACAGAGCGAACCACTCTTATGCAGAAATTGAAAAGTAATTTAATTTTCATTATTTTAGGTTCCATTCAATCAGGCACAGGCAAATACATCTTCTCTGGTAGTAAAACAAAACACTGCCAGCCTCCAGATTTTAGAGACAAATGTCTTTATTTCGTGAGCTCTAATAAACAGGCCATTTCCTGGTTACGTTTCATAGATCATTTCATAGATCCAATAGTGTGCATTTCCCTTTCAGGCAAACAACTTGCAAATAAAATTAATAATCCAGTTGCCCCCAGCTTTTGTGTTAAGAGACTATTGCTCAGTTTAGGAACAAGAAAATTTGTTGGCTTTTTTCAGTTTGTTATATAACCTACAGTGAATTCTGTCCGTCTGTACATTAAAAAATTTATACCTACATCTAGCTGCTTCTGATCGTGAAGCTTTTCTGTGAAGCTCTGAGTTCAGAAAGAGCCTTTATGAATACATAGTGTCCCCTATAATGCCCAGTTCAGAACAGAAAGGTAAGTTCTTCACTCCCTAGTATAAATAACATGAAAAGGGAGGGCATGTTTGCTTTCTGCTATTCTTCCTCAGAACCTGTCTTCTGGAGGAAGGAGAGCTGTTGTCAGCAAAGTGGAATGTTCTAGCCCAGCAGCTGCTGATTTCCTGGCAGTGAAAACCCAGCTGGTGACATCACTCAGGCAAGTGACTCATCGGGGAAGTGGGGTCTCAGTTGTCTGCTCATCTGACACCGCACCTTATCTGGTGGGGCTGCCGGCTCTCTTTTGGATACAAGTGCTCAGCTTTCCCCAAACTTTGGCAACTCAAGGTTTTCTTTTTGTGGACAAGAAACAGTTTATGGAGAATTCTGAATTTTGGGGGGTTTTGTTAAGGTGTTTATACACTGTACCTACCACTTGGCCTTCAAAGGCCACACTTTGATGGGGCCGGCTCTTCTATTTTCCCTAGAAGCTGCTCTGACCCACCCTCTAAGGACCAGGCCTGTCATGGATGCTAACATGAGTTCTAGAGCAGGGCCGGAGGCAGCCTTTGGTCCTTAAGCCCAACAGTGTGCCTTTCCGCATGTCCATTATGCCCACAGATCTGCTCTTCCCAGGATTCAGTCACCAGGAAGTGTCATGTTTTCACTGTACTAACTTTGAGTCAAGGAGCACATTTAACCTATTCTCAGCCAAGACGGTGCTCCAGCACTGTTAGATTTCAGTAACTATTAACAGATGGCTGACAAAGGGGATGTTCCCAGTCCAACTCTCCAGACTGATCCAGGCTCCCAAAAGAAGAGCTGAACTCTCCATAGCTGGCAAGTGTCACCGCCCTCTGCTAGAACCATTTTGTGGCATTACAGACTTACTTGCGGCCAAAGAGTGGCAGCAGTTAAGACAGTATGACTATTCTGCCATGGCAGTTTCTGGATCCTTTATTTGGGTACTGGGGATTCTGAATATTATCAAAAAAAAGCAAATCACACATGTATAAGAAATAGGAAAAAGTAATACAAATGGTCCATAGTTATATGAAAACATGTTCAACCTCATCTATCACAAGAGAAATGCGAATTTAAACTATACCAAGTATAGCCCAGGGAAATATACACAAAATGTTATGATAAATCACAGAGAAAAAAATGTGACAATGAGTGTGTATATGTCCAAGAATGACTGAAAAATTGTGCTGAACACTGAATTTGACACAACACCGTAAAATGATTATGAATCAATAAAAAATGTAAAAAAAAAAACTATACCAAGATACCATTTCTCATCTACCAAATGAGGGGAAAAAAAAAAGCCAACAGTCTGACAACAAACGCCAGTTTTGTGGGTAAACAGACACATTCGTATACTGCTGTGGGAAAACATAATTGCCTGCAAAACCATTTGGCAAAACCTAGCAAAATTACCTAAGAAGCTACCCTTTGATCCAGCAACCCTACTTCTAGGAATCTGCCCAAAAGATATGCTGGCAACAATGTGACAAACGTACAGCAGCGGCGACCCTGGGCCATACTGCGCCCTGTACCAAAGGTCTGCAAGGTGACTCCTTTCGGCTACTGCATTTATGTTTGTTATTCATCTTGACCAAACATCTGTATTGAACTATTATACACTGTAATCCTAACTTTTCCCTTTATAGCAAGCTGAGGAACTTTTTATTTGGAATAACAAAAGAATTTCCTTGTATTTTTGGCTTTTCACTGACTACAAGTCATATTTGAGAAGCCTCAAAATATTGTTTAAAAAGAAATTATAGGCAGGTGATTTTTAAAGTAAACAGATGTTGGCATTCTATACAGTATTTTACATCTTGCTTTTTTCTTTAATTTTTAACAGATAATGTTTACATATTTCAAAATCAAAACTATAAAAAGGAAATTGAGAAGTCTTGTTCTTCAGTTCTTCCCCATCCACCCTCATCCTTCCCATGGGCAGCGTCTGCCCTGGACAGTCCCATTTGATCTGTTGTGTCAGTGTCCCACTTGTCCAAGATTTAGCATTTGCCCAAGACTTTCATTTATTAAAGGTAATATTTCTACTTTTATTCAAATAAGCAGAGATGAGTTTAGAGGACCCGTCGCCTGTCACGGTTTGTAAACAAAAATATTACATGCATTCTTGTAAAGTATTCAGACAAGAACACAGAGCAGAATGAGAACATATTTTTTATTCTCATCCTTACTCCTCTTTATGGAGGTAGTTACTGTCAGCAGCCTGATGTCAAGCCTTTAAGTCCCCTTCCTGTGCATTCACAGAGGGACAGTTGTATCTACCACCTCGAGTTTATCTAGCTAACTATAAACTGAATTATATTATATGCATTATTCTGCAATTTGATTTTTTTTCACTGAACAGTTTATATTGGAGATCTTAGTGTATTTAAGTCAAGCTCGTTCATTTTAACAAGCTGCATAATGTTCCATAATATGGATATACTAAAAAGCATTTAATCATTCCCAGATCTCAATTTCACTGGGAATAAATTTGAAGGGTCTGAAAATGGCATAACAAGATGAATATGCTTAGAAACATTACAGTACAAAAGATTTACCAAGTTTGGAAGCTCCCGTGTGCAAAAGTATGTCTGTATCTGTGTAGCTTTCAAGGCAGGAGATAGAACCAGACAGAACGGAAGTCCAATCCCATTCTGTCATCTGCCAGCCATGTAACTTGAAATCATTCACATAACCTTTCCGAATCTGTTTTCTCGTCTATAAAATGAGGATAAGAGTCTACTTGGCATTTTGTTATAAGGATTAAAAAGCACATATAGGAAGTACTTAACACAATGCCTAACACATTGTAGGCTCTCAAAGTTTAAGGATGAATGAGCTTAAACCGTTGAAAAATGTAGTCAGCTGTCTCATTATCATATTATTTCTAAATTTTATTTCTCCCACTTGAAAAACTGCAATATTTTTAAACACCTTTTTAAATAATGGTATTTATAAAGCTGACACATAGCCAAAGACAATTTAGAAAATACCAAAAAAATATTTAAAACCCAAAACTCATCACCCTAAATATTTCATTGTAAAATGTTGACTAACTTCCTGGCAATCCATTGTCTATGTGAATGAATGAAAGAAAAAAAGCAAATCTGCTTTAGATTCCAGCACCACTTGTTGAAGACTATGCTCTGCCCATTAAATTGTCTTTACATCCTTGTCAAGTATCAGCTGACCGTAGACAGACTCCCATCTATTCCACTGATCAATGTTTACCCTTATGCCAGTCCCACACCATCTTGATTACTGTAGCTTTGGAGGAAGTTTTGAAACCGAGAAGTGAGTCCTTCAACTTCATTCTTTTTCAAGACTATTTTGGCTATTCTTGCTCTCTTATATTTCCATATGAATTTTAGGATGGTTCTGTCAATGTCTACAAAGAAGCCAGCTGAGATTCTGGTTAGATCTTTCTTTCATCAATGTTTTGAACTTTTCAGAGTATGTCTTGGGCTTCTTTTGTGAAATTTATTCCCAAGTACTTTATTTGTTTAGTTGCCATTATAAATAGAAGTGCTTTTCAGTTGATTCATTGCTAGTGTATAGAATACTCATATTATACATTCATCTTGTAGCCTGCAATACTGCCACACTTGTTTGTTTCAATCGTTTTGTGGATTCCTTACGATTTTCCATGTACAAAATCATGTCATCTGCAAAGAAATAGTTCCACTTTTTTCCTTTCCTAACTGGATGCTTTTTATTTCCTTTTGTTGCCTAATGGTCCTTACTAGAGGCTCCGGTATAGTGCTGAATAAAGGTGGCAAGAGTAGACATTTTTACCCTCCCTCAACAGAGGACTACTGGCTGCTGGCTGGGCGTCCATGAAGTGCTCAGCGGTTCTTACAAAAAAAAAATAAAAGGAAGAGAGAGAGACATCTTCGTCTTGTTTCTGATTTTGAGAGTGAGTATTCGGTCTTTTACCATTAAGTATATTAGCTGTGGGTTTTTCAGATGACCTATAACGGGTTAAAGAAGTTCCCTTCTAATCCTAGCTGTTGACTGTTTTTTTGTTGAGTGTTGCATTTCGTCACATGCTTTTTCTGCCTCCATTGAGATGATCAGGTGGTTTTTGTCTTTATTCTTTTTTTTTGTCCTTATTCTAGTAATATGGCACCTTGCACTGAATTATAAAGAATATTGGCCTGTGGGTGTTGTTGTTAATCTTTTGTCTCATTTTGACATCAGAGTAATACTGGCATTATATAATGAATGGGGAAGTGTTCCCTCCTATTTTTTGGAAGAGTTTGTGATGGATTGGTATTAATTCTTTTTTAAACATTTGCTAGAAGTCAACAGTGAAGGCTGGGCTCTTCTCTGTAGGAAGACTTTTAATCACTAATTCAATTTCTTTACTTGTCATAGGTCTATCCAGACTTTCTACTTTTTTTAGAGTCAGTTTCAGTAATTTATATCTTTCTAGCAATTTGCTCATTTAATCTAAGTTATTTAATTTGCTGGCAGTTAGTCAAAAGTATTCCCTGAGTGGGAAGGGTATAGCTTGGTGGTAGAGTGCATGCCTAGCATGCACAAGGTCCTGGGTTCAGTCCTCAGGACTTCCATTAAATCAATCAAACCTAATTACCTCCCCCACCTCCCACCGAAAAAGCAAAACAAAAGTATTCCCTGAAAGTCCTTTTTGTTTCTATAATGTCAGTAGTGACTTCCCCTCTTTAACTTCTTAGTAATTTTAATTTTTTTTCTTGTTCAGTCTAGCTAAAGATTTGTCCATTTTGTTGAACTTTAGTTGACCAACTTTTGGTTTCTTTTTTTTTTTTATTGTTTCATTTATTTTTCTCTCTAATCTTTATTATTTTCTTCCTTCTGCTTTTCGTTTGCTTTTTTGTCTTATTGTTTAGGTAAGAAATGTATGTACATTATACAAATTCAAGATGACCCACAGTTTTTTTAAGGAAGCTATTTTCCTGTAAAAACATTTGTTGCCCCTTTGCTTTACTTTGGATTTGCTTCAGCATAATCCAGTTAGGGGAGGGGCAGATGTAAATGTGAATATAAAATAAAAATGGCCATGAGTTGATGATCATTACAGTTGTGTGAAGGGTACACCTGATTCATTGTACTATTTTCTTTATTTTCTGTATGTTTAAGAATTTCCATAATACAAAGTTAGAAACACATATTATCATGGGCTTATCAGTCAAGGTCATCCAGGTTACAGAAAACACACCAGCTATTTGAACAGAGAGGACTAACAAAGTATTATTAACTGGAAATAAAGTTGTTAACTGCTAAAGGGTAAAAAGAGATCTCTAAGATGTACAGAGGTCAACAAATACCTGGAAGAAACAAAAGGAAAACCTTAGCAACCTAGAAGGACCCTGTGGAGCTAGAAAGAACTCAGAACTCTGAGGAAGAAGCTGGCTGGTGCTGGTGAAGGGGGAGGGAGCACGGGGGGCTGGTTTTGCATGTGTTAAAAAGCTAACTGAGCTGTTCCTACCAAAGGAACTGCTGCTGCTGCCAGAGTAAAGGAGCACTGCCTGGGTGGTGATGCTCAGAGGAACAGAAGGCAGACAGAGAGGAGTAAGTCCCTTACCCCTCCTCCAGTCTTGCAATTCCCACTAGTGCTCCCTTACTGGCAAAGCCTATCAGGGAAGCAGAAGGCCAAGCAAAAATGTTTGCAGACTCCCAGGCTCAGCAGCACAAAGCTGAATGCAGGTGCCTGACTGACCTCATTAGAACCAGGCAGGTTCTGGCTCATGAAAATAGCTGCCTGGCCACATGGATTTGGCCTAAACCTCCAGGGATGTTTGGGAAAAAAAAGGAAAAAAAAAAAAGGAGGAAGAGGAGAAGAATTTGACTGTCCTTTACTAGAGTGACCAAAAGAAAATTTCTATCTCTTAAAGACTTTATAATATTTTGGAGAATACTGCAGTGTTAAAAGGGAATTTAACACTGAACACAGGGATTAAAAACTCCTGGAATCTATGTAATCATTAAGGCTGTCCTCTCTAAAGGCTAAAATATAAAATACTTTTACTATCCAGACAACACTGATTGCTTATGCAGAGGTAAAATGAATAACTGTGGTGGGAGTGGGAAGATCTTTTCACTGAAATTTTTACATGTGTATATACTGCTCAATCAAAAATTGGCTAAGTTTTACAGAGAAAAGCCATTGGCAGGGGGAGGGTAGAGTGTGTACTTAGAATGCATGAGGTTCTGGGTTCGATCCCCAGTACCTCTACAAAAAAATATATAAGTAAGTGAACCCCCGGCAAAAAAAAAAAAAAAGTTTACTACGATTCCACAGTAACACTCTTAGCAACATTACTATGAGAAAATGAAGGCTGCCTGCTGAAAAGGTGTTTAATCTTGGGTTATGCAGCTCCTTTTGGCCAAGTATAATTCCTGGGAAAAGACTACTGAGCAATGATCAGTCAACACTCTTGGAAGCTAAGGGAATAAGTGTCTCAGTTTCAAAATGGGCTTTGGAATTATGCACCACAACTTATACTCTACCAGTGGTTCTCAAATTTTAGTGTGCACCAGAACCCCTGAAGGGCTTCATGCACCCCATCCCTAGTTTCTGAATCAGTAGGTGTGGGTTGGGGGTCAGATTCTGCATTTCTAACAAGTTCTAGGTGGTGCTGGTGCTGCTTGTCTAAGGATCACACTTTGAGAACCATTACACTGTTATCTTACTGGGTTAAATCCAGCAAGGCTGAATAATTTGCTAATTCTGGTAGTTTATCATTTATAGATGTTAATATCTAAAAGTCTCTGGTTAGACATGCCCCTTACGAGCTCATACTGCCTTCTTGGCAACCCTAATTCACTGAAAACTAGACTTTATTCACTAACACACTTGCTTCATAAAATTAAAAGGCAGTTTTTCTGTTTACAGTTGCCAGAAAATTTCCATCCATTTTTCCTTCAGTCTGTGGCCCTCAATATGTTTCTTTCATCTCTAAAGAGGATACATAAATCAGTAAAGGGATTACTGTCATCTGTGATGAGAACTAGTTTCTTTCAACCTGACTCCATTTGCATCAAAATCTGAATCAATGAAATGAAGGCTGATGGGTAGAGAGTAGTGAGTGAGAAAATAAACTTCCTGTTAAGGAAAGAAGTTAACATTTATTGGATATTGATTACATGCTAGGTACAGTGCTAAGTACTTTCTCATACATCACTGAATTAATGATGTATGAGAATGAATTGAATTAATGAGGTATGAATTAACGATGTATGAGAACTAATGAATTAATGATGTATGAGAAAGTACTCAGAACCTGTAAAACAGGCATTGCTATTTTCAGTTTTACAAATGACAAAACAGATTATTTTTTTTAAATGGAGATACTGGGGACTGAACCCAGGACCTCCCATATGCTAAGCACGCACTCTGCCACTGAGCTATACCCTCCCCCACGACAGATAATATTAAATCCCTCACTATTACCTCCCCCTGCATTAAAAAAAAATCCCTCACTAAGATCACACAAGTAGTTAAGTGAAGGAGTCTAGATTCAAACACAAGTCTTTCTACAGACCACACTGCCTATCTAAGTGGCTTAAAAATTAGTATTCTTTCTTTTCATTCGCCAAGTGACATTTACAGGATACTAGGTACTGCATCAAGAAAAGAGTGACACCCTAAAAAGAAAGTTCTGTGCACCAAAGGAGACCAACACAATTCAGCATGATAAAGACTGATGACAGCAGAATACACTGGGTGCTAAAGAGCACTTAATCCAAATCAGGGATGTCAAGGAAGACACGCTGAAGAAAGTGATATCTGTGTTGATCCTAAAAGGATGATTAAAAGTTAGCCAGAGAGAAGCGGAGATGAAGGACTGTTTCAAGCAAAGGCAAAAGCAGGCAACGTGGAGTTTCAGTGTGGTAGGGAGAAGCAACAAAACCCGAAATAAGCAGGGGCCAGGAAAATGTAGGGCTTTCTACACCATGATAAGGATTTGGATTTTGTTCTATAGTCAATGAGGTTAAAGGAAAATATAATAAGATTTGTATTTTAGAAGGAGCAGAGGATGGAATGAAGAAAGAGAAGGATAGGAAATTAGTTAACAGATTTTTGCATTAATCCAGGAGAAAAATGAGAGGCTAACGTGAATCAGTGGCAATGCACATGGCAAAAAAAAAAAAAAAAAAAAAAAAAAGCCAGATTTGCTATTCAGGAAATAGAAGGATCTAGTCAGAACTGCAGCAGCCACACTAGCCTGCTCTAAGTCCCTTCTTACAAATCTTTCTCACTTCAAGAGCCTTTATATTTGCTTTCTTCGTGGAATTGCACTTTGCTAAATCACACCCTATCTAAATTACATTCTCTCTGCTTCTCTCTCAAAGTACCCTTTTCTTTTCCTCCTATGTACAGTTACTTCTTTACTATCTGATCCCTGCTGTAAAGGGCAGTGACGACAGGGACAGGTCTACTTTGCCAACCTCTGAAACCCCAGTACCTAGCACGGTGCCTCCAAACAGTAGGTACTAGGTGCTTTGTGGAAGGTGAACTCACAGGTGGCTGCTCTGGCAGACTTGTAATGCCATTCACTAAGGGTAGAAACACAAAAGGAGGGGCAGCGATAAGCAACAGACACTGTTAATGACTATCGCTTACTGAATTAACTCCTAACTCTTCTACCTAGCTTTCAGCTTTTCCGTTTATCGGGGCACACTGCTCCAAGCCTGCAATTTCACTGGCCCCTCCTTCCTCACGCTCGTCTACACTTTCACTTGTATTTTTCCAAACTTATATAGAAGTTCAACATCCGCTTCCTTTCCTCCAATTACTCAAGTTACATTTCCTCAAAGACTCGGAGTCCCCCACGTTGCTTCCTCCGTGTCAGAAGTAAGAGAATTCACACTTTGGGACAGGATCTGCCCACCTGGTGATACTTCTGAAATGCCAGCCTGGGAAAATCCCGCCAGAACGAAATCTCCGCGGGGACGGTTGGCTTCCCGCACCCGAAACGCTGCCCGGAGCGGCCAAAGCATAAAACTGTGAAAAGAAGCAAAGGTTTCATTAAACCTGCAACGAGTGAGAACTGACCCCGAGCTCGGGCCCGGGCCCCGGCGACAACCGGGCCTGCACGCCCCCTGCGGCCGTGGGCAGAACCCCCCTCCTCCTCCCCTTCGCGCCCGTCCCTCAACTTGGCAGTGGGCGCCGGGACGCCGACCCCATTTCCCAGATTCTCTCCCTTTTCTCTGGGCGTCCCCACGGCTAACCTAACGTCAGCGGAAGACGCCGAAGGGGAGGGCCGCGAGGCCCCGGAACAGTGCCCGCCGCAGAGCGAGTCCCGGCTAGCACGGAGAAATCCTCGGAATCTGTGAAAAGCCACCAGCAGAAGCGACAGCGATAGCTGTTTCCTTCCCAAACAGTTCTCAACCTGACAGCGGTCGCGGAGAAATGGCGGGAAAGCCAGCACAGCCTCCAGTCTTTCCATCCATTGGCTAAACTCGCTATCGTTCCTCGCGGCCCGCCTCCTTTGCTCGCGGGCGATGTTTTTATTGGCCAACTTCCGCCAGCTGTCCGCTAACCTTGGTCAGTCCCTCGGTTCATCAGGCTCGAGCATTGGCAATAGGCGAAGAGCGGCGCTTGGCCCCGCCCCGGGTCGCGCACAGGCGCGCCTGTGTTGGGGCCGGAGGCCCCGCCTCCGAGTGCCGTGTGCAAAAACAAACAGCCGTTAGAGAGGAGGTGCCGGGGGGCGGGGTCGGGCTAGAAGGAGGCGCACGATTGGGCGGCTGCAGGGGTTCAAATGAGCAAAGCGAGCGGGCATTGGCCGAGGCGGCGTGAGGCGGGCCTCGGTTATTGTCCGGACCCCGGAGGCCGCGGCGGCGGTGGTGGCAGCGGTCGGTGCTGCGAGAGCGGCGGCGGCGGCGGCGGCGGCGGCTCGGCGGGACCGAGGGCGGGAGCGGCCGAGACCATGGTGAGAGCTGCGGGGCGGCCGGGCGGCGGTGGCCGGGCGGGGCCGCTACCTGTTGAGGCGGCCGGCGTCAGGCGGCGATGGACGTCAGGCGGGCGGGCGTCAGGCGGCGACGACGACTACGACGGCGGGGCGGGCGTCAGGCGGCGGGGCTGCCGGCGGTCCCGGCTTCGCCAGCTGGGGCGCTGGCGCGAATCGAGATGAGAGGGCCGAGGAGGGGGCGGCCCTGAGCCGCGCAACCCTCGCGGCAGCGCAGCACCTCCGCAGCTCCTGCGACCGACTCTGAGTCCTGAATTGTGCGTGGTTCTGTGCTGCGATGCAGAGCTCCTTAGGAAAAGTGCGGCTTTTGGGGAACGGGAGTGCAGAGAACTTGGCCCATTGTGAAGTTGAGAGAAGGCGCTGAAGGCTGGCCGTGCCCCGCGCGGGAGTGAGGTAGCGACGAGCGGTGTCCGCCCGAGCGCCCTCCGGAGACAGCCCTGCCGGGTGCCGAACCACAAACAGAAATTGTGGTTATTGTGACGTTCGCAAGTCTTAGAACTGAGATCGACTTTTTGGGAGGTTGCACCCGGTCTCTGTAACTTGCAGTGTGAAGTTAACGTGGGGTGGCTTAACCGAAGCACTAACACAAGCGGACTCAGGCACAGATTACATCGACCCTGTAACTGTTTTGCTCGAGATGTCACTCATTTAATCTCTGGCGACACGCCATATACTGGCTGTCCCTTTACCAGTAGCTAAAAATACAGACATGTTGGCATAAGCTAAAAATACTGAAGGCGTTGAGTTGTCATTCTTGTTTTGAAAAATTTGAACTTAAGGGGAATTGAGCTTGTGTCTGTTAAATTGGTATGAAAGTATCTTGGTATCCAGTTTTCAACTTTTTCTCAATGAAATGTACTCTGGCTGGCTCCACAGGCATGTTTTCTACCAAGTTGCTTAATGCTAATTCAGTTCTTAGAATAAAGGTTTATAGAGTTTGTATTTTGTTTCTCAGTCATCAAACGTATTAAAATGGACAAAGCTGGAAGGGTGTATACAGAGTTTGAGGCGCTTATGAAAAGAAAGTAATTATTCACTTACTGTACAGTTTTATATTTATACAACTTTGATACCGTAACAGTTTGTTTCTGTTATGTATAATAAATTTATCTGAAGTCTCCAAGCCTTGCAAATAGTCATTAAACTTACTGGGTTTTTAAAAACTGATTTCATGTCTACTTTCTTAAAAAGCAAATAGGTTAAAGCAGCAAATATGATGGATTTGAAACAGTAAGGATAAAATTGACAGTAAATTGGGAAGCCTGAGGAGTTTTGCAGTTGGTAGCCTTTAATTGGTAACTACTACTTATTTTGTAATTCAATCAAATAGTGATTATAATTTTATACTCATGCACTAGTTGAGAGGTTTCTAAATGTTTTACATTAGGGCAAATAGAGCTGAAAAGATTTATTTGAAGAATAAATGAAAATATATTGTGACTTGAACTGACCTCAAATCAAGAACTTAGGGGATATCTTTTTCTTATATAGCAATATGATCAGAAATTATTAAAATATATGAGGAGGCATTTTGGTAGAAATCTAGAGATTCTAAATTCTCTCTGTTAAACTAAAATTAATCTCTCTTGTTAAATTATTAAATGTAAGAAAGAGGTATTAATTAGTTATAGCTTTTTTTTTCCTTCTAATACCTGCCAAGACCTTTTTTCCCCCATGTCGTTTTGGGAAATAAACATTAAATCAGCTGAGACATACAGTTGGTGGGGGAGGTTGCTATACATTGTTGATTTTTTTTTAGCTTAAAAAGTATTTTAAGGAAAGCAGTACAAGGAGTCTGTGGCATTTCAAAGCTTACTCTCTATTTCAAAAATACAGACCCTCAAACAGCTAGCCAATCCTATAAACTGATTTCTTAAATATTCTTTAACAGAGAAGGAATAATAGACTTAAATAGTAAAATCAAACAGTCCAAAAGAGAATATTGGTTTCCCTTTAAAGTCAGATATTTAGTATTCCCTCCCTAGAGGCAAATAACTTTTCTAACCTATTGTGTGACCTTCTAGAAATGTATGTGTACACATACTCTACAATACCTCATTTTTACGTAAGCAAAATCTCACCGCTATGTACTGTGAGTTGCTCTCTATCAACACATATCTGTAAATCATTTGTTGAAATGGCTGCGTAATATTCCATTGCATTTCTATACTATGTTCCATTTGTGACCATTCAGGTTATTTTAGAAATATTTCATTTAAATCAATAGAGTAGTATTTGTTTAACCCCTTTAGAGTAAGTTTGACTTTTTTTGGCGGGGGATAAAATACACAACAATTTACCATTTTTACCATTTTGTCATTCTTAAGTGTACAATTCGGTGGCATTAAGTACATTAACATTGTTATGAAACCATCACTGCCAGTCATTTCCAGAACTTTTTCATCTTCCCAGACTGAAACTCTGTACCCATTAAACGGTAATTCTCCATTCCACCCTTTTCCCCAGCCTCTGGTAACCACCATTCTGCTTTCTGTTCTTAAGCTTTTGACGAGGTACCTCATGTAAGTGGGATCATACATTATTTGTCCTTTTGTGACAGACTTATTTCACTTAGCATAATGTCTTCAAGGTTTATCCATATTGTAGTCTGTATTGGAATTTCTTTTTATAGCTGAATACTATTCCAGTATATGTATATACCACAATTTTGTTAATTTATTCATCTGTCACATCAGTGGATATTTAGATTGTTTCTTCCTTTTAGCTATTATTTATAATGCTGCTATGAATATGAATGTACAGAATTTCTTTTTGAGTCCCTGTTCTCGTTCCTTGGGTATGTATCTAGAAGTGGAATTGCCAGATCATGTGGTAATTCTGTGTTTAATTTTTTGAGGTTTTTAAAAAATTTTTTTAAAGAAGGGTTTTTTTTCTCCCGGAAGAGCTAAGTTTTTAATATTTCTACAGAATGATAGAGGTTGACGTTTTAAAAAATCATTTTATTATAAAGTATTTCTGACGTAAAAGTTACAGTGACTTGAAGATTCTTCAGTCTGAAATTTGAAAAATTGGCTCAAAGTTTTAGAAATCTCATTTTTTTGTTTTCATATTTTTTCCATTAAAGGTTATTACAAGATACTGAACCTAGTTCCCTGTGCTATACAGCAGAACCTTTTTTTAAAATCTATTTTTATATATAGTGGTGAACATTTATGTATCTCAAACTCGTATTTATCCCTTCCCAACCCTTTTCCCCGGTAACCATAAGATTGTTTACTATGTCTGTGAGTCTGTTAGAAATCTCATTTTAAATAAGTATTCAAGGTTTGATGTCATTTTTATATAAAGTAATAAATGGTACTCTAACACATGTACTTAAAATTGAGGAAGGCATTCACCTAGATTTTTTAACTACCTAAAGTAAAACTAGAATGAATTTTGTTTCCTAAATATTTTTGAAATAGTATTTTCAATTCTTCATCTGGAACTTTTTTTCATCTAGGCTGGAGGCAAAGCTGGAAAGGACAGTGGGAAGGCCAAGGCTAAGGCAGTGTCTCGCTCACAGAGAGCTGGGCTACAGGTAACATATCTGTGCTGTGGTAATTCATTATTAAATTATTTTCTTTACTGTTGTAATTCATGACTCATAGATGTTTCTTTAAGTACAAAAATATAGTTGTACTACTGGCCTTTAATAATGAGATTAATTGGTCAAAATATATCAATATAGCAACTACCTTTTAGTTTGTATTCTCTTCTAAGTGAGGACAAGTTATGAAAATATCTTTAATGAATTTGGTAATTTTGCTCTTAAAATCTGCTATTTCTAGATTATAATTATGTTCATGGTTCTTTTATCAATTATATTGAAGTGAGTATGCTATGATTTTTATTTTGAAAAAGGTGTTTGTAGTGTTACATTAACTTTCAGGATGAGATAGAATCTGGGGTAGAACAGTGAAGTGTCCACTAGTCCTCTGAATATTTTCCCGGTACCTTCAGTTATAGACTGAGTGATACACTCAAAATACTAAATAGTTTCAAACTTAATATATTGGAATTGTTGCATTGTTGCAACTTCAAGAATTATTCTCTACATATGAGAGATACTTTTTAAACAGGAAAGTTTTAAGGGCAGACTATAAGGTTTGAATTTTTATCCTCTTGGCAGTGATGAGCCATTGAAAATTTTTGAGCAAGATCATGACATGATCCAAGTGGTACTCAAGGTGGGGGTGGTGAGAACATACACTTGATGGGTACATTCTGTATTTTAGAGCACCATGCAGATCTCAATTAGAATTTATTTGAAGTGGGAGATAGAAGACAGATACAGGTTCTTGCAGTGCTTTAGGGATAAGGTAATACATATTTGAACCAGAGTGGGATGGAAAGGAATAGAAGTCGCCCAAAAAATGAGAAGAGTGGTATAGGGCTGAGACGAAGGTCAAAGGGAAATTTCTCTAAGGCTTAGAACCTAAGGGGCTAAGGAGTTTGTAGTAGGGGCAGGTTATGAAATAATGAATTTAAATGGCGTCATTTTGAAGTTCCACCAAAACACCCATGTGAAAATGTCCAAAAGGTACAGATTGAAGTTCAGCTTCCCAAGGATTGTGATTGAAAGAATTACAAATTTAAGATCATTTAATGTAAAACTGGTAGTTTGTACTGTGGCTGAGTTTCCGAAGTAGAGCATTAGAAAGGAACAAAAGGACTTTGGTGGACCCCTCACCGTATTTGACATGGTATTTCAGTCAAAGAAAGAAAAGACTAAGGAGTAGTCAGAGTTAGCATTAGAACTCTGTGTGATCGC